TTTGTTTGTCCTTTCAGGCGGTCGCTGTCGAGGACGCAATGCCTTTTCCTTTTGTAGTCGTTCACTTGTATGCCATGTGGTTTACTTGTAATTATTTTTTGAAAACTCAAAATTCTCTTTATTTTGTTTCCAAAAAGGAAGTCTATTTTGCACTAACAAGGCGGTACATTTAAAAAACAAACCACTGCAGTTCGCTCACTTTGTCCTTGCAGTCCACACTTTACATTCATTTACATCTATTGGAAGAACAGTTGAAAAACAACTAGAAACACACACACACACAAAATAGTCCACTAGGTCTCATCTATGCGGTTCACTACTCTTGACACTGTAGTCCACTCCCACTAACAAAGATGTGCACAGGTTGTAAAAACCTAGTGCATATAGCCAACGACGGATGCAGTGTGGTTTTACATCTAAAGTAGTGCGGTCGATCGTATGATGTTGTTCATCACGTAAGTGCAAAAAAATGTTATGGAAGCGAAAAGAAGTAATGTGGTTCACTTCTTAATAGTGTTGTGGTTCATTTACACCCGATGTGAAGTGCACTCTACTTTCTCGTCCTACAAAAAATTACGTTTGAATAAAAGAAACCATGCAGTTCTCTTACCCGTCTGATGCAGTGCGATTTTTCGTTCGATGCAGTGCGGTTTACACTCGGATGAAGTACCCATGTCGATTTGGGTGTCACGAAAAACAGTGTCCGCATTTGGGTAAATTCAGAATTCCTCTTAAACCGTAAAGAATTAGAGAGAGTGTTCTACATGAAAAAGTTACGCCTCGTCGATATCTTTCCAACGGGGTATCGTTTGAATCATTCTGACCAGCGGTTTGTAAAAATTTCGCGAAAAACAGCCGCTGTCACTCGTCGTCCGCCACGCGATTTTCAAAATTAACTTAAAATCGTAAGGAATCTCAAAATTTCGCGAAAAACGGCAGCTGTCACTCGTCGTCCACCACACGGCAGCTATAGTCGGCGCAGCTATTCCTACGAAAGCCAGGCAGACCATTGGCATCCACTATCGATTTAAGATAAGTAGGTTGAAGACAGCCAAAGATTAATGATTCATGATTGTTCCTACGGAGAGGATTGATGATATAACTTCTGGATCAGACCAAGAATGGATTGGTTACCCTGCCAGAGAGGGTGTCACGGAGTCGAGGTCTGGCGAAGGAAGAACACAACCAGGCCAATGGTATGGCCCCCGCAATTTGATCGAGGTGCAACGTGAAGATGTTACTCCCTCGGGTCCTTTTTAGTTCGCATATTAGATTTGTCTGATGTCAAGCCTCATAAAGTTTGACCAACTTTATAGAAAAAAACACCAACATTCATAATGTGAAATCAATACTAGTAGATGCGTCATGACTTAAAGTTTCATGTTGTATAACTTTATCATGGTAGATGATGATATTTTTTATATAAATATGGTTAAACTTTGTAAAGTTTGACTTCAGACAATTCTTATATGCAGAGTAAAAATGATCGAAGGGAGTACAAGAACTGATTAACTAATACTGTAGATTGCATTGTACTCTTACCTGAGTTGCTCTTCATCCACACCGGTTTGAAATTGGATCAAAGAGAATGAAGCGCCGTTCTCAAGCTCGCTGGTTTATCAACTAGATGACCAGATGAATTAACATATGCAACTTGACTCTCAGGTGAAAAATAAACATGGGATTCTTGCACAATTCCTAGATGACTTAACACTCGCAAAACAACATCAAACAGCGGGTTGGCATTATTTTGTACGGAGAATGAGGTGCTCATGGCGTTATCTCAGCCTCATTTCCGTTCGAACATAGGAGTACATGGCTTTCAATTACAAAGTTCTAGCTCATGCACGGATGGGAAATGGTGCCGGGCCTTATCTAATGCACGGTGCAAGTGGCAGGGTTTACATCCCCAAATTAGTATGCCACGGTTGGAACCTTTAGTAATGTTACAACCAAACAAACTACTTATTTAGTTGCCTGAATGGCACACTGGCGATGCCCATCATCTACAAAAGTTTTCTGCAACCTTCCCCTGACCGAGAGTCTGAAAACACAGACAATAGGCTGCCATTTCTGAACCTTATCCAGCCGAATGTGCGGATCTCAAAGCGTATGAACGGTTCCGATAACCATCATGATCCGCACATTCGGCTGGATAAGGTTCTGAATTTACGAATTATTGAATTTCACCAATGACCCAAGAGGAAAGGTCAACATGCACCTTTACGTAAGTGTAATACCAAGATGGCAAGCTAGTTTCTGACTTGTCAGGAGTTTTCAGATCAAAAGCTGTCAGCGCCTTTCGCACCCGGCAGTGGGCGCCAGTGTCTACTTCGGGCAAACATCTACATTGGCTGATTGTGGTCAATTACTAAAAGTTCTGAGCTTCGCTGTACTCGTGCTGGCATGAAAAACTTCTACTTTCGTCCAGCTCAATGAACACGGTTCGGCACTGTAAATTAAACGCGGCTTGATGGACTCATTTCTTGCAACAGGAAAGCCCCGTTTAATGCTGCCGAAAGGGTGCACAGAGTAACTGTTGTCCTGCTGGCCCACCAGCCGTCCAACTGCGTGGACTCATTTCTTGCAACAGGAAAGCCCCATTTACTGATCGGCGTTTCTTTTTGATTTTTCGATCTACGATCGGTTTACGTCGCCCGCCGCTGTCATCGACCCCGCGCGTCTCTACTTCGACTTCGGCATCGACTACACCGGCGTCTTCACCGACCCGGCGGCCTCGCGCGTCTGCCCGCCGGTTACCCCGACCCGACGGCCTCGCGTCATGCGGCGGCACGCTGCCGTTCGCGCGTCGGCCCGCCCGTCGATCTACGCCGGCCGTCATCGCCCTGCTCCGACCGGGATTCCTGCATCACCCCGACCCGGCGGCCTCGCGTCATGCGGCGGCCAATCATAGCTGCCCTGCCGCCCGCCGTCGCCTACTTCATCTCGGACTCCGCCGCCACCCCGTCTCCATCGAGCGGCGTCACCGACCTCGCGCGCGATCGGCTTGATCACCCGCTCGCCGCCACGATCCGCATCATCTACGCCGCGCGACCAACCTGGCCCGTTGGTTACGTGCGCTTCCATAGGTCCCGTGAAGATCGTCCCCGAGTTCAGCGCGTCTATCCACCGATCGAGCAACGGGCTGCTGCTGCATCACCCCGTCGGGCCGCAGCGGCGCCGCCACGTGGTTCTCCTCGCGGCTGCATTGACTTGTGCGTCGCCGTTGCGTCGCCCTACAGGTCGTAGTGCCGCGATACGCGATCCCAGCCGCCGCCCCGTGGCCGTCCTCGCGGCTGCACCGACTCGCCCGCCGCCGTTGCGTCGCCCCTTCGGGCCGTAGCGCCACGGCCCGCGGTCCCCGCCGTCGCCCCGAGGTCTTCCCGCCGTCGTCCCGACCTGCCAGCCGCCACTACGTCGTCCCTTCGGGCCGTAGCGTCGCGGCATGCGATCCATTTCGCCGTCACCGCGCGCCGACCTCCCGTGGTATGCGCCGCGCCATCTTCCTTGGCGCGGGAACGCCATCGTCCGCGTCGGTCTTCGTCACGCTGTCAGGGTTCTTCGCCTACTTCAAGCATCGCCGCCGCACTCCTAACCTAGCCGCCGCCGCTGCTACCTTCGTAGCCCGCCGCCGCCCGTCCACCCCCTTCGTCTTCGTCCAAGCACCAGCCCGTCGCCAGCGTCGCCGTCATCTACCCCGACCACTTCGTCTACTCCGACCATCATTGGTGACATCGGCCCCGCGCCGATGGACGCTGCAATCGTCGTCGAGTTCTTCTCTGCTGGCCCCTCCGACTTCTCCGACATGGCGTACAGCTCGTGCTGGTCCCTCGTCTACGCATACCCGGTGTTGGCAACACCGATGTGTGCCTTCATCCACGACGTGTCCCCGCAGTAGGTAGCGCATTGAATACGACCGCGTCTGGTAGTTGGCCGGCCGACATGTGGGGCCGGTGGACATCAAGGGGTATGTTAGAGATGCTCTAAGCATGTTAATGATTCCGTCCGTGGGCAGTGCATGCTAATGATTTGCCGAAAGGCGAGGAGATACGCAATACGATCCGTGTGCAGACGTCAGCGGAGAGACGTGGCGATGCAACAGGTGTTGCGGATGGCGACGGTTGTCGCTGTGTTAGTGGAGTTTGTGTGCTTGGATGCGCGGTCGCCGTGTTAATAAAACATGGCACACCGTGTAGGACGCAAAATGGAGAACAGTGCTGTGTCATGTGTGTTTGTAATCCGCTGCTTTACTTGCTATTTCGTGATTGTACCATGTGTGCCATGTTATCTGTCGTCTGGCGTTTTCCATTCTCCGGCTCTATTTTGTTGCGATGCTCTCAACCGTGCATGGCTCTGTACCATGTGAGATGAGCGGCGTGTGCACGGTTTCTTTACTTTCTTTCCCTATTGCTTCACATCGTCTCTTTAGAATTAACAGTTTATTCCTGAGCCCATAGCACCGCCTGTGTCCGAAAGGACCAGACACACACACACGACCATGAGATACGGACTCTAAGTGATTTTTTGGGCAAACAACCTGGATTCCATTAACTCAAGTGGCCAGAGGCCACACAACAGATACAACACGGGGTACACCGTACAGCACAAGATACAACGTAGTAGAAAGGAACACCCCTAGACCACGTGTCCATATACTCACACAGGAGAAAGACACGCGAAAGGACACGTATCACTAGAAAGAACACATGCAATCACGTGTTCATATGAAGCTTCACCAAGGTGCCCACGCGTCCGAGCGCATACTCCAACATCGGCCAGAGGTAGACAAGCCGTCACGGACGAAGCTCCGCCACTGGCAAGAAGGAGCAGTCACCAGACCAAATACCTCCAAGAACGCCGCAAGAACCGGAGCTGGAGGAATAGAGCACCAACAACGCTGGAGATCTTGAGGAAGCCCATGCGTTGTCATGCGATATCTCCACTGCCCCATCACATAGGGAAGATTAACAAGCGACAATGGAGGAAGAAAAGCCCCTAGATCAGGCAAATGAACACCTAAACTGAGAAAGGGCAACACCAATTACCCAATGGCTGGAGCACCAGTTCCAGGAACCACATTGTGGGCCTCCAAAGATGGAGGTTGAAGAGGAATTTGGTGGATGAGTAACCAAGGACACAAGAGGAGCCCGCCCTGCACCGACGCAGATGGAAAGGGAGAAGCACGTCGCCGACGCAATGAAGCTGCAACAAAGGAAGAAGAAAAACATGTGCAAGCTTCAAGCTAACCTGCCCTATCTCGCAGGCGACCAAGATTAAAAAGCAAGCTCGCCGGACAGGATAAAGAAGAAAAGGCACCGACGAGTTGCAGAAGTAATGGATGCAGGGAAGCAAAAAAGACGGAAGAAAAATACTAGAGGCCCGAGCTCTTGAAGGGGGAAAACAGAGCTCGAAGAGTAGTCGGGACCAACCATCCTGAATCTACCTTTCCCATTTGCCCATCCATCTCCATGATGACACTCGGACAAGGAAGGGGAGGAAGAGAGGAAGGAAGATCCAAGAAGGAAGGAAGAAGGCCACCAATCTCGCCACCATGGTCATACTTGCAACTGCAAGAAGGAAGAAGGCCGAGCTAAGATCTTGTTTACTGGGAGTAGAAAGAGGCATATAATATACATAGAGGGTAGGCCGGACCTCTCTCCCTCACCTCTCCAGTAGCCGGAACCGCCGGAGACAAGAGAGAAAGAGGCCGGAAGGGGATGAAGTGAGTGAGTTTTGACAGGCAGGAGACCTCGATGGGTAAACATGCTACTAGGCAGGAGACCACGATGGGTCACGTCGCCCGGTTCCGTGAATGTGGACCACCGGTTCTTTGCTAATCGTATTTCGGTTTGAATTGGTTTTTGAATATTCTTCATGGGTAACACACATCCTTCCTCCATGTCATGTCGCCCGGTTCCGTGAATGTGGAACACCGGTTCTTTGCTAATCGTGTTTCAGTTTGAATTGGTTTTTGAAGATTCTTCATTGTGAACCCACCTCCTTCCCCTGTCATATCGCCCAGTTCTGTGGATGTGAAACACCGGTTCTTTGCAAATCGTATTTCAGTTTGAATTGTAGTTTCACCTCCTCCCTCCATGTCATGTCGCTCGGTTCCGTGGATGTGAAACGCCGGTTATTTGAAAATCGCATTTCAATTTGAAGTGTAGTTTATGAAGGTTCTTCATGGCGAACCCACCTCCTCCTTTCATGTCACGTCGCTCGGTTCCGTAGATGTGGAATGCCGTTTCTTTGCAAATCGTATTTTAGTTGGAAGTGTAGTTTTTGAAGGTTCTTCATGGCCAACCCACCTCGTCTCTCCGTGTCAAGTCGCCCGATTTCGTGGATGTGGAACACCAGTTCTTTGCAAATTGTATTTCAGTTTGAATTCGTTTTTGAAGGTTCTTCATTGTGGACCCAGCTCCTCCCGTGGTGCCATGTCGCCCGGTTCCGTGGTTGCGGAACACCGGTTCTTTGCAAATCGTATTTCAGTTTGAGTCGTAGTTTTTGAAGGTTCTTCATGGCAAACACACCTCCTCCCTCCGTGTCACGTCGCCCGGTTGCGTGGATGTGGAATGCTGGTTCTTTGCAAAACGTATTTCAGTTTGAAGTGTAGTTTTTGAAGGTTCTTCATGGCGAACCCACCTCCTCCCTCTGTGTCAGGTCGCCCGGTTCTATGGATGTGGAACACCGGTTCTTTGCAAATTGTGTTTCAGTTTGAATTGTTGTTTTTGAAGATTCTTCATGGCGAACACACCTCCTCCCTCCGTGTTACGTCGTGCGGCTCCGTGGATGTGGAAGCCGGTTCTTTGCAAAT